GTTGATGTTGATGATGATGATGATGATGATGATGATGATGATGATGATGAGGATGATGATGATGATGATGATGCTGATGATGATGTTGATGCTGCTGGTGGTGATGAGATGCTGCTGATGATGCGGCTGATGATGATGACGACGACGATTGATGATGATGATGATGATGATGATGATGATGATGATGATGATGATGATGATGATGATGATGATGCTGATGCTGATGCTGATGCTGATGCTGATGCTGCTGCTGCTGATGATGATGATGATGATGATGATGGTGGTGGTGGTGGTGCTGATGACGACGATTATGATGATGCTGCTGCTGATGATGATGCTGATGATGCTGCTGATGATGATGCGGATGATGATGCTGATGATGGTGGTGGTGGTGATCGTGATCGTAATGGTGTTCAGGAGGAAGAGGAGGAGGAGGAGGAGGAGGAGGAGGAGGAGGAGGAGGAGGAGGAGGAGGAGGAGGAGGAGGAGCAGGAGGAGCAGGAGCAGAGCAGGAGCAGGAGCAGGAGCAGGAGGAAGTGGGGAAGGAGGAGAAGGTTGAGGAGACGGTTACATGTGTCACCTTTCTTCTTCATGTCTCGAGGAGCCCTCACGGACTTCATGCGGGCCGTCTTCGGGCTGCCCTGGGCTCCTGTGGGACACTCTTGGGGTCCGTTTGGGCTTCTTGGGCCGTCCTGGAGCCCTCCGCGGCCGTCCTGGGGCTCTCTTGGGGCCGTCGTGGCCGTCTGGGGGGTCGGTGGGGGCCGTCGTACTTTCGGGCCGCCCACGGAGTCGTCTTAGGCCGTCTTGGGGCCAACTTCGGCCGTCTTGAAGCCACGTTGGGCCATCGCGGCGACCTTGACGGCATTGCAGAGGCCCTCTTGGGCCAGCTTGCGGCTCTCTCGTGGCCATCTGGGGCCCTCTGGGAGGCCTGTTGGGCAGTTTTGGAGCTCCGTTGGACCGTCTTGGGGCCGCCGTTGAGGCTTCTTCGGGTACTCTTGGCGCCCTCTTAGGCAATCTTCGAGTCCCCTTGGGCCGTCTTGAGGCCTGGGGCGGCAGAAGGCTCGAATTCTCGGTTCGTGCCTCTCGGGCCTCTCTTGGGGCGCCTCATGGGCCGTGATGGGCGCCTCGTGGGTCGCCTCTTGGGGCCTTCTTGAGCCGTCTGAGAGCGCTCTTGCGGGCTCTCGGGTCGTCTCGGGGCAGTCCTCGTTTGGCTCTCTTGGGGGCTCTGGGGGCCTCTTGGGGCGGAATGCTCGAATTGCCGGTTCGTGTTCCCCCGCTTGGGCCCTTCTTGGGGCCGTCTTGGGGGCCTCTTGGGCAGTCTTGGGCGCCTGTTGAGCCGTCTTGGAGCCCTATTGGGTATTTTTGGGGCCTTCCTGGGAGCTTCTTGGGCCGTCTTGGGGTTCTCTTGGGGGCCTCTTGGGCCGTCTTCGGATGGCGGAAGCTCGAAAAGGCGAGAGCCTCCTAAATCATTGACGAATTAATTGATTAATTGCAAGTCCATGATTTTGCCTCTCGGGGCCCTCTTGGGAAGGCTCTTGGGGCTCTCTTGGGCCGTCTTGAGGCCATCTTGGGCCGTCTTGAGGCCAGAATCGGCCGTCTTGGAAGCATAATTATTGGGCCGTCTTGGAGGCATTTTGGCTTCGGGAGCGCGCATCTGTTGTATTTTGCGAAGCGTTGTGGTCTCGGGAGTGCGGGCGGTGCATGTGGCACAGTGTGACGAGCGGGGGGAGAGATTACAGAAACCCTGCCAGACAGCTCTCGGCATTCTATCACGCCCAAATTTGTCAGGGGCACGGTGGCGGATTTCTACAAGTCAGCATCACCGTACAAGAGATATTGGGGGCAGTTGTTTTGGGACCTGACGACCGGAGGGGTGGACGATTCGTGCTATCCCGGTTCCACGCCTGCGCCCACTTCTCCGCTGACGCCTCTGCCCACGCTTGCGCCCACGACTGCGCCCACGCCTATGCCCACGACTGCGCCCACAACTGCGCCCACGCCTGTGCCCACGCTTGTGCCCACGACTGCGCCCACGACTGCGCCCACGCCTGTGCCCACGCTTGTGCCCACGACTGCGCCCACGACTGCGCCCACGCCTGCGCCCACGCCTGCGCCCACGACTGCGCCCACGACTGCGCCCACGCCTGTGCCCACGCCTGCGCCCACGACTGCGCCCACGACTGCGCCCACGCCTGTGCCCACGCTTGCGCCCACGACTGCGCCCACGACTGCGCCCACGCCTGCGCCCACGCCTGTGCCCACGCCTGCGCCCACGACTGCGCCCACGCCTGTGCCCACGACAGCGCCCGCTTCCGTCGCCTACACTGTGCAGGGATCGCTTCAGGTCAGCTTACACCAATTAAGGACTTCAGTTGACGCCTTCAGCTCAGCTCGCACAATACGTCGTCACGAGCGTAATGGTCAGATTGATGCTACAACGGTCGAGACCCTGATCAGCATAGCGCTTGCGAACACGATGAATATTAGTGAGTCTGCCCTGACTCTGATGGCATTTCCCATGGCATCGAGCGGGATGTGGAACATCACCTTCTCCTGCACGTTGAACTCGGAAATCGACAGGGCAAGTTGGGCTGATCTAGGGCAAAACCCTACCCTAAGCAGGCTCAGCATCAGCATCGAAGAAGCAGCCACCAAGGCAGGTTTGACGTTCGACATGGGCTCGCTGACCGTCCCCATGCCAAATATCGTCGAGATCGCATTGACGACGCCAGTCCCTGGGCCTTTCGCCAAAGGCGACCCACACATGCAAAATGTCTTTGGCGAGCGCTTCGATCTCATGCAGCCTGGGATCCACACGCTTCTCAACGTCCCGCGGGGCATTGCGTCGCAGGACGCGCTCTTGCGGATGAGGGCTAGCGCGGAGCAACACGGGGGTTCCTGCATGGACATCTTCTTCGAGACGCTCAATGTGACCGGGAAGTGGGCGGAGGCGGCTGTGCCGGGAGGGCTCCGCTTCATCGCGGGCAATGCCAGCAACGGCCACATGTCCCGTTGGTTGGTGTTTGGACCTGTACGTTTGAAGGTGGTACGCGGCCATTTGTCTGACGGCACCGTCTACCTCAATCTGTACCTGAGGAACGTCGGCCAGACCGGCTACCGCGTGGGCGGGTTGCTGGGCGAGGACGACCACACATCAGAGGCGACGTCTAGCGCCCGATGCCATCACCTCATGCGCCTTTGATTGTCCAGTGGAGCTGGCGGCTTGAGATGTCCCAGCGAGCGCCAGATGTCCCAGCGACCGCTTTGTTTTTGGCGAGCGCCAGGGCGAGGCTGAGCCTTCGCTGGGTCTCACCCCCCTTCCAACACCATCAGCCTCCCTTCCTCACACACCTAGTCACACACACCATCATAACATCAACATTGTTATCATCACCATCATCACCATCGCCACCACATCTCATCGTTGTCATCAGCGTCCTTGTCACTATCCCTCATACGCTCGTCTACTGGTCTTACTCCTTCACCCACGCTCTTCCATCTATCATATATGCGAATCCAGGCCCTGGGAAGGAATTGCTGCTCCCCCCAGGACTCGGATTGCAGAGCTCGATTCCCTGGCCCGCCCTTGGTCCTCCCCGGGTCTCCCCAGGAGGCCCCGAGAGCACCCGAGACGGCCCAAGTGCCCCCAAGACATCCCGAGATGGCTCCAAGACGCCTCCCCCAAAGCCCAAGAGGTTTCAACATGGCCCAAATATACCCCCAAGAAGCAACAAGAGGGCCCGCAAAGGACCCCCCGGACGACCCACACATTTGAATCATGGGCCCTGACCCCCCGCGGCGACCACGCGGCCCCGCGGCCCGATCGGCGAGCATAGATCGACCGCATCCCCGATTGGGAGAGAGGTTACGATTCAACGGCAACCGCTGATGACCCCCCAGACATGCGACGCCTTGATTTTTTCAACACACGGTGTCCCTGAAGTCCCGACCGCTTCCCCGGGAACCGGTTTTTCATCCTGAGTCGTTTTTTGACGGTCCCGAGGCCCGGCGAGGGCCCCTCGAGGCCGAAAACTGGCAAAAACCTTCCGTCCTGATTGTTTCGCGACGCAGTCGTGTCTGGGACGACAGCCGCTGATGACCCCGTTTCCCAACGCGGATTCTTGGGCGATCGAGGACATTTGCTGGCTTGATTGTGAAGGCTTGACGGCCAGTGCCGCCGATCCTGAAAGACATCGACGACGACTAGGAGGGGGAGGAGGAGGAGAAGGAGGAGGAGGAGGACGAGGAGGAGGAGGAGGAGGAGGAGGAGGAGGAGGAGGCGGAGAGGAGGAGGAGAAGGAGGAGGAAAAGGGCTCCCCCCTAGGACCCCCCCTGGGGAGGAGGACCAGAGGAGGACAGGTGTGGGAGAGGGGAGGGGAGGGGGAGGAGGACCCCCAGGGACGGATGCGTATCTCACTCCCCTCCCGCCCAGGACTCCTCCCCAGCTGGGGAGGAGGACCCGAAGAGTACCGGCGCGCCGGAGATGGACCCGCGTGGGAGAGGAGGGCCCCCAGAGGCGATGCGAATCTGACCCCCCGCCCCCGGCCCCCCCCCGCCGGGGAAGGGACAAAGGGAAGGGGCTTTCCTTTGACGTGACGACGGCGTGGTTCGATTTCCCTCAATCCCCGGACTCCTTCCCCCGACGACGGGAGAGTGCTCTCTCCCTCCCGACGGGGAAAGATAAACAGAAAAGGCGTCCCGTCGACGGGACCAGACAGACCCCTCACGCACGCCGACAAGGTCGGCGGATTCGGCCGGCCAGGCACGCTGCGCCTCGCCGCAGCGGTCCGAGGCGGGAACTTATACATGACCGCCGCCTGGAGGGTCAGTTTTCGGAGCCTCGGCAGGCGGTGGCTGTGGACATGTTGGGGCCCGGGGGGCCGAAGCAGATCCGTACCCGCCGCCCGCTGGGGCACCGGGGCGTCGGTTCCCAGGCGGTGGCTATGGACGAGGCCCCGCTTCGCAGGCGGCCGGCCGGTGCCCCGCGCCGCTGCCGCGAGGCGGCGAGGCCTCGGAGCCCGAGGCGCAGGCCGAGCTGCTCGCCAGGCGCCTTCGCCGCCCGCGGCCCCTCGGCCTGCCCAGCCTCGCGCCGCCGGGGCGCCCAGGCCTCCTCGGGTCGTGGGGAAGTCGGTCAGAGGCGGCGATGGGAGGCGGAGGAGGAGGGGGAGGGGGAGGAGGAGGGGGAGGAGGAGGAGGAGGAGGAGGGGGAGGAGGAGGAGGAGGAGGAGGAGGAGGAGGAGGAGGAGGAGGAGGAGGAGGAATAGCCCAGGGGAGAGCAATACGTGTGTTTAGAAAAGGCTCCCGGGCGAATGCGTGTAATGCCCGCCCCTGGGCTCTTCGCCCCTGTCGTCGCCGCCGGGTCGAGGCGGGACCTGGCCCCCTCGCGATGTGAAAACGATCACGACAGGAGGCTTCTTCTCTACTGTGGGCCTAGGCTCCGGGGGCCCTTGCCGGGCCTCGGGGCCGTCAAGAAACGGCTCAGGATGAAGACTCGGTCCCGGTGGAAGGGGTCCAGACCTCTGGGGTCGACGTTGCGAACAAAGCCACGACGTCGGGGGTCTGGGAGCCCGGCGGCTCCATTTTCTCGAGCCAGGCGTCTTCACATTCCTTCGGGCCCCGGGGCCCTCGCAGCTCGACGCGGCTCGAAGGATTGCGCAGAAAGACAGGGTCTGGGGCTCTGGGCACGATCTTTTACAATGTTGCAGTTTTTTTTTGGCTGCGTCAGATCTCAGGGAGGCTGTTCGCTATTTTTGGCCTGGGGGGGCCCTGTGCCAGCCCTCGGGGCCGTCAAGAAACGACTCGGGGTGAGAAGCTGGTCCTAGAAATGGGCCCAGACCGCTGGAGCTCCACGTCACGAACAAAATCACGACATCGAGGGTCTGGGTACCCGGATCTCCGACGATTTTTTTTGGTGGGGGCAGCCAGCGGTTTTTCTTCGATTCGGATCCTCGGGCGCTTGTGTGGGGCTTCAAGGGCCATCAAAGATGGATCGGGGACGCAAATCCATGCCTCAAAAATCGCGCCGCATTGACGATGCATCGGCGATGCGTCTCGATGTGGGAGCCCGACTTTCTCCACGCCGGTGGCGGCGATGCATCGCCGATGTCGCCGATCCATCGCCGATGTATCGGCGATGACTTGGCGAGGCGGCGCGATCCTCCGACCCCATCTACTCGGACCCCAATTGGGAGGCCTTCGGCAAACCTGGCCGGGTCGGGACCCCTCGGCCACGCGCAGAGGGGGGGCAGGGGGAGGGGGGAAGGCTTCTTAGAAGCACCCCTGCTCCTTAGAAGGCGCGGGCCTTGTCTAAGAAGCAGCCTCCTTCTAAGAGGCCCTTCCCCTCGTCGTTGTGTTTTTTCGCAGCGTCGGCCCTCAGAGGTGTGAGCCCCCTTTTGTGGACGGTCCAGAGGCCCGGCAGGGGCCCCAGAGGCCGAAAACGGCCCAAAACCTCCCGTCCTGATGTTTTTTTGCGACGCGATCGTGCCTGGGCCCCCCCCTCCCCCTCACCCCCCTGTGCGCGCCGCCCAGCCCTCTGCAGGGCCGCGGACGGAAACCATCCCGCCGGCGGATGCCAGGCTACGGTGGGGGCGTCGGTTGAGGAATGCGCCCAGGAGGCTGCAGACCCTGGGGGATTCCTTGTCTGACGAGGGCGGCGGTGATATCCATGGCCGATCCACGATTGGAGTTCGACGGGCTTCTGGGCCCTGGATTCCCTATCGGAGGGCTCCTTGTCCAATGCCTCCACCGTGCGTGTGCCGGGCGGGCTCCAGAGAGGGGGCCTCGCCGTCGGCGCGTGGCTCGCCCCAGGGCGGGAGAGCGAAGGCGCAAGGCCAGGGGGGAAGCTGGCGGGGGTAGCCGGGCGGCGGATTCCGCTGGCGGGAACCCAGACACGCTCGCGCCGGAAAACCGATAAAAATCAAGTGACTGTTTTTTGTTCACTGGTTCGCCGATCGGCGCGGGCCCCACCCCCCCTCCCCCCCATGGAGCAGATCTTGGCTGTTTTTTGGCGCCTGTTTCGAGCGGGGTGGAGTTTCCCCCAGAGGCCGCACTCTCGCAGACAGTCGCACTAAGCAGAGGTCTGGAGCCAGACCCCCCCCCCCTCCCCTCCCCTTTCCGCTGAATGTCGAGACGCCGAATAAAAAAAGCTCACCAAGACGGGAGGCTTTTGCCCGTTTTCGGCTCCTGGGAGCTCTCGCCGGGCCTCGGGACCGTCAGGAAACGACTCAAGACGGAAAACCGGTCCCGGGGAAGGGGTCGGGACTTCTCGGGGCCCCGTAGACACCAGGACGTCGCACGTCTGGCACGGCGGCGGAGATGCGGCGGCGGCTCGCGCCGTGTCGACGCGGCGGCGGCCCGAGCGCGGGCGTTCGAGGTCGAGCGCCGCCGGTGGCCCGGAATCGGCCGATGCCGAGCGATCTGCACCGCCGGGAAGCTGCGAGCGCGCAGGGCTGAGCGGCCCACGCGGTGCCCGAGGCCCAGAGGCCAGCGCGCAGGTCGTCGCGTGAGGAGCTTGCCGTACACGGGCGCGGGCCCAGGCGTCGCTGCCCACCGCAGCAGGCCTGCCGTGGTCGGCGTTGTGGGTGGTTCGCGCCGAGGTCGGCCCTCATGGGCACGCGAGGGGCCCTGGACTCTCTCGTGTTTTCCCGGTCTTTGTCACAAGTCGCTCTAATGGCAGCCCCGCTTAGGCATCCCACTGCCAGCGTAGACGTCCCCTGCCTCGCCGCCGGCGCAAAGTGTGTTCCCGGTCCTCGCTGGCCCGAGCGCCGCTGTCGTCGGACCTGTGTGCCCCCGCCCACAGGCTGCGCGCTCCACAGAGGATAGCCCAGACATGATGGCGTCGTGAAACAAAAATCCTGACGGTAGGTTTTTGGCTGTTTTCGGCCTTGGGGTGGCCCTCGTCAAAAAACCGACTCAGGATGCGTAACCGGTCCCGGGGAAAGGGTAGGCACTTCCAGGGACACCGTATTGAAAAATCAGGACGTCGCATGTCTGGGTTTTTGCCCCCGCCCACAGGCAGCGCGCTTCATAGAGGATAGAGGGGTCTTGCCCTCGATTTGGTCGATCTGGTAGACGTCTCGCCCTAGGCGGAAGGCCAGCGGAGGGCTGGCGGAGGGCGGCGGGATCAAGGCGGGGCGGCCCCGCCGACGACAGGCGGGCAGGAAGCTGGCGGAAGCCGTGGGAGGCACGAAGCGACCCACCTGTTTTTGCTCGCTCTTCGTCATCATCCTCCTCCGCCTCCGCCTCCTCCGCCTCCTCCTCCTTCGCCTCCTCCTTCTCCTCCTCCTGCTCCTCCTGCTCCTCCTCCTCCTCCTCCTCCTCCTCCTCCTTCTGGTTTAGCACGTACCAGAGTTCTCCGCGCGGTAGTTCGGAGCCCCACGCGAGACCTCCTGCGCCGAACGACCGCTGGGATTAGGGCGCGTCGATCGGAAGCAGAAGATGCGCCCCCGAGAGACAGGTTCTCTGGAGCGGGCCATGCAGGCTCCCGCGGGACTGCGGGCCGAGCTCAGCAGCGGGAGCGCCAGACGACGCGCCGCCCTCTCTCGAGCAGGTGTGCTTTTCCACGGGGGCGCCTTCGCTGTGGCCTCGCCCTCCCCCCGCCGCCTTTCTCGGATCCTCATCACCCCAAAATGCTAATACTGTGTGTGTGTGTGTGTGTGTGTTTGTGTGTGTGTGTGTGTGTGTGTGTGCGTCGCCGCCCTGGGGCGAGCGCGCACTGAGAAAACCTATAGTGTATGCTTCGTGGCGGGCGCTTTCCTGCCATAGCGCCTACAATATGGTTATGCTGTATGTTCGGGTGTCGGACGCACGCTTTCCGAGAAGGACACGTAGTACTAGTACGTCCTTGTGCGTCCCATCGGACATTGCTTGATGCGCAGGATGGTTCTTCCGAGCCTCTTCTTGTGCGTAGTTCGCGCTTGCGCTTCCATAGCCTGGTAGCTGCTTTGACAGCGGTGCGACGGCCTCCACCGCCGCAGACCAGAAGCTGTTGCGCCGGATGCCCCCCCTTATGGTGCTCGGGAGTGGAGGAGGCGGGGGGTAACAGGGAGGAGGACGCGGAGGGGCAGGAGCTTGAGGCCTCCCGCTCCTATTCTCCTCCTCTTCGCCAGTGTTGATGCGCATTTTTTTTCCCGCGCTTGCGGTAAGGGGCTTCTCGTTCCAAGGATGCTGTAAGCCACTTGGTTCGTATGCTTCGACGTCCAGGATGACGATGATGATGATGATGATGATGATGATGATGATGATGATGATGATGATGATGATGATTATGATGATTATGATGATGATGATGATGATGATGATGCTGATGATGCTGCTGCTGATGATGATGATGATGATGCTGGTGATTCTGATGATGCTGATGATGATAGTGATGATGCAGAGCAGCAGGAGGATGAGGAGGAGACGAAGGAGGAGGAGGAGGAGGAAGAGGAGGAGGAGGAGGAGTAGGAGGCGGCGGATGATGATGACGAGGAGGAGGAGGAATACTGAAACGGTTAAGAGGAAGACGAATAATCATGAGAAGGCGACACAGAAGAGGACGAACAAGAAGCACCATAAGACTAATAAGATGACGAATCATAGTATTACTAATAATTGCAGTAAGAACAATATGAATAACCACAGGACGAAGGAGACTACGAATAATACACACAATATTCATACTGCTGATGCTGATGCTGATGATGGTGATGCTGATGATGCTGATTATGATGTAGATGATGATGATGATGATGATGATGATGATGATGATGATGATGATGATGATGATGATGATGATGATGATGGTGATGCTGATGACGGTGCTGCTGATGATGATGCTGAGTATGATGATGACGAGGATGACGCTGCTGCTGATGATGATCATGATGGTGATGCATATGGCGATGGTAATACGACGGAGAAGATTAATAAGACGAAGGCGACAACGACGACGATGAATAATACGAGTAATGTCAGTATTTGGAACAAGACGGCTGATATTACTAATAATACTAACGCTCGTATTGCTAACAACAGCAATCATAAGACTGCGACCGATACGACGA